ATATCATACTTTATACTAATATTATAAATACGAATGTTTGCATGGATGGGTGGATGTTTGTCAAAAGGTATTTCCATAATGGCTGCATGGATCGGGCTGAAATTTAACATTGATGTAGAACAAAGTCTGGAAGAAGACGCGGACGAGCGCAGGGGAGTAGCCAGCCTATGATAAAACGGTAAGACATGATTTGTCATATTGCATTCCCTGAGAGCGGGCGGGATGCGAACAGATAAAAGGAGCAGATTTAAGAAATTCGCAGGCGGCGCGGCGTGGAGGGGGTGTGGGTGAGTGAGCGTTCTCTTTTGTTGCGCGCGAGGCACTTTGTATTCGTAATTCCTTGAATGGTATTTCAAAGCAAAATCATTAGCTACAGTGGTCCAAATTCTTAATATTCGGTGAAAATATATTGTATAATGAGCAGTGCTTAATGCTTTAACTATTATTTCCATATAATAATTATGTATTTTCGCTGCAGTGTCTCTTGAACTAAAACATGGTGCGCGCGATGGTTGTAGCGGACCCCGGGTTCCTTTTATTTCATTTCGGACGTCAAGGAAGCGGGAAGATCGCTCTCGCGCCGGGACCGCATTCACATCTCCTTACTCAATTAGCTCTATTTAATGAAAATTAGGTAAGTTAGTCTAAACTATTTAAGTACTCGTCCACTTCGTCCGTCCGTGTGTGCGTGATAACATAGGCTACTTATTTCTGTTTTTCTTAATTTCTCGCTGACAAGGTCGCGAGTGACCGCAAAAATGTAAGTTATTAGGTTTTGTTACAGGTCGCCTGAGACGCTGGTCGCGGTCGCGGTCGCGGTCGCGGTCGCAGTCGTGGGTTCGACACCGAGGTAAGTGAATTTTCACTGGTTTTACATATTTACGGTTGGAATGTTTTTGTGTCGCATGTTTACATTCATAGGTAGATGTGAGATTTACTTTACCCATGTGCTGTTACACAATGCTACATTTTATGTAAAGTGCACACTGACATTGCAACTACACATAAGTACATTATGTACAAAGGGCAGTGCGACTCGGTGTGTCGGTGCGGTAGTGCGCAGCACCAGTCGAACTCGCAAAGTGCCCTACAATTTTCCAACAATTTTGAGCGACAAAGACTTTTGGGTGTCAAAGGTGTGCAGCGAGCATGTTAACTCGTTTGAAACACGAGAACTATCTATTACTTGTGACGGTATCTCAATACAGCAAAGATATGTCACTCCAGCTTTTGGATTGGTGTGCATTATCTTTTGTTGAATTCAACTGCCAAAACGCTTTCCCTGGTTACCTCAGCCAGTATCGGTATCCTTGGTGTCGATATATCTATCAGTGTTTATATTGTTTTTTAAAATTAGAAGAAGGGTGGCGAGATTCGCTGACCGCGGACAAGCAATGGCATTGTCCGTTAAATATACATATATTTATATGCTCTGAGGAAGTAATCTTCTTTGGATGATGTTGCTGGAAGGTGGTCTTAGGAACGCTGTAATTTATTTTTTGAGCGCAATCAAATAAATGCTTATTTCTTTTTAAAAAGGTTTTTTACTTTCAGTCTGTCTCTGCTTGTCTAAGGTGCCACACTATTGCCACACTTTTATATGAAGTTTGTGCCTTGAATGTGTTTTATGTGTGCTATAGTGTGTATATTTATGATAGATTACTTTGACAACTGACGCCTATAAATTATTGAATTAATTTTGTATGAGGATTAACGATGTACTTAATAGACGGTTGTCATAGTGTCGACCTTACGCGTATTAGGAACATTTATGAACTATAGAGAATCGGTTTTGTAAACATTTATTCGAAGTAATAAATACTATAACTTAGTTATCTTATTACTTTTTGAATTTATTACAGATATTTAGCTGTGACTCCCGCAATTAATTAAAAAAATCACTAATATTAGTTCTTTTGGTTTCTCAATCCCTCAATTTTTGGTATAATGTTTTTATTTTTCTACTTAATTTTGAAGAATAAAGTTGGCATAGAAAGAAACGATTTCATTTATATTGTAAATCAACATCAATAATCACGAAATTTTCTATTGCAAGTTCTATGAGAACAAACATCGAAAATCGAAAACTTTCATAACGGATTTTGATGAACCCATCTCTAGTGAATTGTCAAACTAATCTATCTTAGACACACTATACTAAATATTTTTTCTTTCTTACAATGATACTGGCCACGATACGATTTTGAAAAAAAAATCCTATCGACAGCTTTCACAGTGATAGTGACATTATCAAAGTATCATGAGATTCAAGAATCTTAGCGCGTAGGCCGCATGTTGTAGCCGCTGCCTGAGATCGCGGTGAGCGTACCTGCATGTTGAAGGCGAGAAGCTCGGTGCGGGCGGGGCCGAGGCGAAGCGGGCACCAAGCTCGGCCGCGGCGCGCCACGCTCCAGGAACGCCCGCAGCCCGGGCTGCCACCTCAAGAGAGGGCCAAGTGCTTTCGAATCACTTGCTACGTCATAGTGCAGTGTGAGTTCATCTACTAAGACAGTAGACAGAACACATTGCCCCTAAGGAACGACATTCTTTTTTCTCGCCATATTATAACTGTAATTGCTCTGTATTGAATATGCTAGATGGTTCAGAGAACCGAAATTTGGTACATGGATACAAAACGGAGTGCAGAGGGAATAGTTAGGAAATTGGTATCTTTCCCTGTCAACGTTTTCTAATAGTGTTTGGATCGAGGTCGAAATCGAGCGATGCTGATACACGGCTCGCGGTGTAGGTGTGGCGGTGTTCGCGGGCGCTAGCACTATCTACCGGTGCGTGTGGGTGCCGGCGGCTGGGCTGCGCGACTACGACAAGCTGGCGCGCATCATGTACCTGTACGACTCGGAAGCGTGCGGGCGTCGCGTGGCCGCTGCGCTCGCCATAGCCAACCTGCGGCTGAGCAACGCAACGGGAGCGCGCGGCGTGCGTCCCGTGCGCTGGCGGCCCGCCCTCGCCACCGTCTCCGCTAGCCTCTCCGCCGCCACTAGATGGTATCCGTTCGTGCCTCTTTTTATAAAACTAGTTGTGCCCGCGACTTCGTCCGCGTCTTTGAGTAGAATTATTTTACTTTAACTTATAAAACGTAGCTTTTGCCCACGACTCTATACGCGCGTAATTAAAAAAACACAGTAAGTAGCGTATATGTGCTCTCAGACTGAGTTCTACAACCATGCCAGATTTTATCTAGATCCATTGACGGCTTAACGGACCCACCCACCCAAACTTTTGCATTTATAATATTAGTAAGATTTACCATTAAAACTTGTCTCAAATATGGTTCATATAAATTGTTTTATTTATCTACGATATTATTACGCTGATCTAAAATAACTCCTCCCTCGTTTAGGTACTTGAACTTTAGCGTGGCGATACACGCACTGTGGTTGCTATCGGCCGTGCTCCTCAACATATTAGTGAAGATGCGCGCGAGGCTCCGCCTTCAAAAGATAGGCCTCTCCTTGTTTTTGTACGCCTCGGTGTCTGTGGTGATTTTCGATCTGTCCATGGCTATTGTGTACGCGTCGCATATTAAGAAGAGCCTGACGAAGGGCATGATCCTGCGGTACAGCGGGTGGAGCGTCGAGATGAAGCTGGAGAACTATTCGGCGTGGGGGGGCTGGGTGCCTCTTGCGGCGGCGCTGTGCTGGGCGCGCGGCGGGCCGTTCGAATGCCTCAACATGTATTGCTGCCGCACCGTGCACCTCACGCTGCGCGGCGTGCGCAAACGCGAGGTGAAGCGTCGGCTCACGTTGTCCGTTAACCCTCCGCTGCCCGAGGCGCGCTCCGAGAACCCCAGCGACGGTACGGTTCTTTACTTTAGAGCCGGCGAGCACATTCCCTTTAGGGGCAATAGGATCAGCAGACACTTGTAGCATACATACACAAGGCTGTCGTGCTGTCCGGTGTGTGGTCGGACTAGTCGCGTCACGCCTGCCATAAACAACAAGCCTGCACATCAACCGGACTATAGGTAAATTTAGCCGTTATTTTAATTAGTGTATGTTGATGTGACACAAAAGTTGAAGTCGAGATGTATACAGTGATATTCATAATATAAGGTGCATATTTGTTAAGTTGTAATAAATAAATAAAAATTACGACCACAACATTTTATATTGTTTCTTTGGTGCTGCTTGTTATCCGTTGATTTCATCAGTTGCTCAAAAATTCAATGAATATTTATGAAGGCTAACAACGACCTCTAATTATAATCACTGCGCGGATTTGCGGACAGGCTAAATTAAACAAATATCTTTTTATTATAAGTAACACAAACAAATCGTGTGTACGAAATATGACATTTTCTTTTTTATTATATACATACAGATACTCCAATGTGATTAACATGTATAGATTGATAGAAGCTATAAAAATATTGGCGGCGATGCTCGGCGATTCTCCGCTCGATTCACGAATAATTAAAACTTCAGACTTTTCCCAAAAACTGTTCTTAATTCTTATTATCATCGAAGTAAAGGAATAGCGCTAATTTATTTAGGAACTAGCTGTCGTCCGCGACACCGTCCGCGCGGAATTTAAAAAAAAGTTCTTCAGACTATATTCTATAGTATGCCAAATTTCATCGCGATCTGCTCAGCCGTTCTAGAGATACCTTCAAACAAACATCTATTCATCCAAACATTGGCATTTATAATATTAGTATGATAGTAAGATAAGATAGTAGTTGAAAAAGTGTCAGCGCATTGTATAGTCGCTCATGTCGTCCACTCCATCCACTCGGCTCCCCCAGAGTTACCTCATATTTATTCTAGCTTATCTAAGTTATTGCTAAAGATGTCGTCGATACGATTGCCGATCTGCGTCAGGAGGTTGCATTGCAAAAAGGTGGCTTAAGTAAAATTATTCAAAAAGCAGTGCATTGCTTCAATGTATTTTATTTAAATATAAAATAACTGAGCCGACTCTACCGTCCGAGCGCCAGCAGCGGCGTGCGCCGGCCGAGCTGCAGTCGCGCCGGGCCTCCCGCTCCCTCCGCAGCTCCCCGCGCGCCAGCTGTCCTCACCAGCTGCAGCTGCCCGCTGGGCAGCAGCACAAAGTATGTTCCCACGCTCCTCAGGACCTCCACGGGACCTTCTATTTTTTCTATCTTTAATTGCTCCGGGGTGTCTGTGGCGGGCGCGTCTGTGGTAGGTACCGCGGAAGTATCGTCGGGCACGCCGTATACGTCATCGGGTGTTCCGTATCTGGTGCTCGGTGGACCCTCCCCGGGAAGACGGAAAGGTTTCCCTGCGGGCGACCACCCCGAGGGCGGATAGGGGCCGCTCGCCGCCGCCCGCTCATCGGGCAGCGCGAGTGACGCGCCATCAGGCTTCCACCCGGAGGCAGGGTACGGCCCTCCGGCGGATTCAGTAGTCGGCTCGGCTGATGGTTCAGTCGTCGAAACTAGCTCAAAGCGCTGCGACCTAAACCTGGCGGGCGGCAGGCGCGGAGGTTGAAGCTGCCCCGGTGCCAGCGCACCCGGCGCCCGCTCGAGGCTCCCGGCGATCACACAGAGTAGAAGCAATGACTTCATTTCCGATCGATTATCGAATGAATACGATCTAGTCGTGGTTATCTATTTATAGTGTGTCGTTGTCTATTTGTTGGACGTATATGGTGCGCCCGAGGAAGGTTGGTCGCGAGGACGGCACACCGGGCACGCGGCCGCCCGATGGACGCTGGCTGTCATCCTCACTCCTTGTTGTGCAATAGTTGCATGTGTGCATGTATGTACACACTCTAAATCTTACTAATATTATAAATATAACTGCTCTATGATTCTATTAGTTGTTGCTCTCTCTTCTGTAATTATTATATTTACTGGATGCTATTATTAATAAGCAAATGGTTTCAAATCTTTTAAGTTCAGTTTAGAAAATATTACAAGAGAATACTGGAAACACTCATGATATTTCTGTTAATTCAGATGTATTATATTTTTTACACTAGCAGGTATGTACAACGCAGCTAGTTTCTAAGTGCGGAAGGTTTCCTTCCAAGTGGGACTCACTTCGGAGACAAGGTCTTCGTGGAAAATCTACATTAAATGGTGGATATTGAGTCTTATAAAAAAGTCTTATACTAGCTGTCGCCCGCGACTCCGACCACGCGGAAATAAAACAAAACTTAATTAGTAGCCTATGTGTTTTTCCAGACTATGTTCTACATCTGTGCTAAATTTCATCAAGATTGGTTGAGCCGTTCCGCAGATACCTTCAAACAACATCCATCCATACATCCAATTAAACATTCGCATTTTTAATTACTATATTAAAGATTACATTACATTGTTCCAAATGAAATAAAATATTAGATTTAGCACTGATTATAAATACACATATTTATGAAAATATCACTAAATGTTAAACAAATAATAAATCATTAAGAAACTCCTGAGCGAGCATTTGCTTTTTTTCTGATGTTTGTTTAAAATAAAAAGGAACAATAGTGATGTACTACGTCATCTTCGCTCGGACTTTGAAACGAAAACGGTTGTAGCAACCAGTGTATTTCATATTTTTAAATACGACCGAGCTCAAGCGGCATGTCTCTTTGCTTGTTGAAGTTTTTCGCTTTGCATTTTACCTGAAAATTGATACAAATTCTATATTAAGGTCTATTTCTTGTATCTCTCATGAGGGATGTTAGCGGGTAACCAAAACGGCTAAACGGATTTAGATAAAATACATATATTGCTATTTATAAATGTTAAATCTAAACAGTACACTTCTAAGCATGGCTTATAAAAATAAGAATGCAATTGAAATTTATGCCTAATTTGTAGCGGGACTGGTTCTTTCTTTTAGTTGTAGTGTCAGTAGGGCATTGCACGAGCGTACGGCACCAATTTATCGTTTCAAAGTAAACAAACGGTGCGGCTTTCGCATATTGAAGATGAAAGTCGTCCGTCCACGATCTTTAGGGACTGCATGAGTGAGTAAATTGTGCGCAATATTATCATCATCCAAATCGGTTAGGTGCTTCATGAGTTTATTATAGTATTAGCACGTTTATACTTACGGTAGATGGCGAGACTCTCGAGGTAATTGTCCTTGAGTATCCAGAAGTTTATGAGCCATTGCACGAGGCCGCGACAGCTGGCATAGGCCAGCAGCGCGCCCACCCAGCTCGTGTCCGGCAGTGGGCGCGCGTCCGACGGCCAGCCGCCGCGCCCGCGCCCTCGGCCACTTAGCCACCGCACGCCGCCGCCTCTAGACTCGATGTACTCAAATATGTCTCCTGCGCGAGACACACACCATGCTTAAGGCGCTCATCTGCTTAAGGGATATTCATAATTCGTCACACGAATTTTAGCGATTGACTTGTTTACACACAAGGTACAAGCGCCTAATGTCTGCGTGTCTGCGTAACGGGCAACGAAGACAGTCCCTAACACCACTGATGTGAATATGATGGTTGCGAATGCGTCGCTTGTAGGAAGTGTAGGTATGAATAAGGGTTATTGTTGTGTTACGTTCGGTGCTCATATGGCGGATGTCCCGGATGAAGAGCGCGGCGTGCACGAGGTCGGCGAGAAGCAATGCAGCGCCGGCGCAGCAAGCGGGCAGCGCCGCGCCGCACAGTGCGCACGGCCGCCGGCGCTGCGCCGTGTGTGCCGCTGTGAGCGCCAACCACGCTACGTGCAGGCCCAGCCACACCTGCAACTTGCTGCCAAATGGCGCAAAATAACATTCGAAACCGAAAATTTTTTAAATAAGGCAATTCGTGGATACGATTAAGGAAGCCGGTTTTATATTATTAATTCGAGTTCCCCCTCACTCGAATTAATGAGGAAGGGAGGAGGAACTGCAGTTCACCTGCGGAAGGCGGCGGCGGGCGGACTGTGCGCGGGCCAGACGAGCGCGGCGACCGGGGTGCCGGCGGCGGAGCGCACTGTGTAGTTGTAGAGCGCGGGCGCGGCGCA